GAAAGATCATATTTTATAACCATCTTCATCACAATATCTATATGGGATTCGTATAAATCAACTTCCTACAACAGATGGACTTGTATTTTATTATTTTCTCCTAAGTTATCATCTACGAAAAATCAACGATAGCTGGTCCGTTCTTTAAATGAAGCGGGTATAAGAAATCTTGATTAGAAAGCTAACTGGTGATGCAACTTTAAAACAATTAGTTCTCTATACTTGATAGCTAACAAAAGCGGGGATAGCTCAGTTGGGAGAGCGTCAGACTGAAGATCTGAAGGTCGCGTGTTCGATCCACGCTCACCGCATTAAACCAACTTTTTTCTAATTTATATTTCATATTCTCTGTTTCCTTTTCATCGTATTTATTATTATTTTTTCTTTTATCTGAACACAGAATCATAAAAGATATAACGCGTTTCTGTGTTTCATATTCAGTCTTATTTTCATCTTGTTTATTCTTATTATTTCTTTTATCTGGACGCACAGTCATTACAGATATAACACGTTACTTGCAAGAATCATCTGTGACCATGAGTAGTGTTAATCGTATTGTCGATTACCATTTTCACAGTTTGCCAGCTCGAAACATTACCATTACCACAAAAGGTTACTACCATAAATCTTTGGTACAGAAAATCACAAAAAAAAAAGGTAAAAACTACAAGGCAAAGACTAAAAGCTACCATCTCCATCACAGCGTTCAATATCTCTCATCAACAACGTTGTCCATTNAAAAAAAAAAAAAGGAAAAACAAGAATCATCACATCTTTCAGACGTCCATTAAAACTGCCGATCAATGTTTTTAAGTGATTAGCGAGTTTGTGATGAAGCTCCTCTTGCTCGATACACTTCCCTTAAAGTCGCAATAGCCGGTTGAAAACTAGAACTCAAGGGCACAACAGATACAACTCGAATGTGCTGTGCATTACCATTTTTCGGTTTTGATAGTGTCACTGCCAACATCTCCCCCTCCAATGCCCCACCTGCTGCCATAGCTGCACAATAATAGAGTGTATCAACAACATCATACATCACCAAAACTAACCACTTTGTTATTACAAAATGTAGAGGAATTTATATGTATATGGAAAAGGGAAAATAAAGAGAAGCACACCAGAATAAGGGTGGGTCTTTGCAAAATCAAAGAACTCGTCTGCCGAGCAACCAAACAACACCCTGGCAGCCCTGTCAAACATTATCACCACAAACACCTTTGTATCTGTAGCTATCGACATCTGCAAATACCCAAAAAAAAAGAAAAAAAAAATGATAAAACAAAACAAAAAATGATATTTTGGCATCATAGATTATTGTAATCTATATCATGTAACAGTAAGGTAATTCTATACTAGACAAAACACCAAGAATAGAAAATCAAACTCTATCTATAAGGGTGTCCTAATATTAGTCTTGTAACTTCTGCAGTTGCGATTTTAATCCAGTAAGTCTTGACTTTTGGCAAATTTGGTCCCGTGGATTTTAGGTTTGTTCAATTCTGGTCCTATTTAAGTCGGTGTACATTTCGACCTGGAAGCTATTCTAATACTCCAATTATTCCGAAAATGCCATTTGCACCAGATATGAATTAGATCAAGTTTCAAAAGGGTGTTGGAACCAATTACAGGTTTACTTATGGCTCCAACATTTTGTATTATTTATACTATCAATAAATTGTCCGAGAGGGGACATTTAGAATACGCATTTTCGTATGAAAGCCAAGGTACAACTACAAGAATTTTTTCTTACACAAAATCAAATGAACAACTGGTGATTCTAATGTCTAACAAATACTACAAAAATCTCCACACGAAGTATTATAGTAAACTTGCAAAGTGCGTTTGTTTTTTCCTGCGGCAAATTGTCTCAACTTGAAAAGCTACAAGTATAATATTGCAATTCCCTAATTCATACATGATCAATTTTGCAATTTTCTCCACAAACAACAATAAACATGACTGCTAATCTGCATCGTCTCAAAAAACCCCAGAATCAAAGCTTCACAATACCAGCTCAAATTATCTGAAGAAACCAGAATAAAAGGTAATTCCCAACATTTCAACATTTCCCTTCTAAAAGAATAAAATCAGAAGAATGCTTACAAGAATACGAAAGAGCCGCTTGGAACTAGAAGTGGTAGGGTTGAAGCTGTTGCTAAAGGTGCAGTATTTGCAAGCAATTTCGGGATTCTCAGGTAGAGTCTTTTCACAGACGGAGCAAACTCTGTAACACAGATTTGTGTGATCAATTGCCACCACCGTGCACATTACCGTCGTCGGCTTATCAATCTCCACCAGAGGCCTTTTTCTCGTCTGCTGATTCACGGGCTCGCCGGAAATCATTGGTTGATTTGACATTTAACCGGGCTTTTTTATCTTTTGTTTTTCGTCTGGTTTTTGCTTTCTGCCTACAGGTTGAGGAGTTTGCCGCTGCAGAAGCTATGAACAGACCAAAATATCTGAAATTTCAAATCGACCCATGCACTTCTCGTCTATTTCTCTTTTAACTATTAGCATTTAGCAAAAAAATTTTATTTCCTCCCTAAATATTTCATTTTTATATCTTTGCCCCTTGGTATTTAAAATCTATCACATTACGTATATCAAATCCATTGACATTTAGGACGTGCTTGTTTACAAATTAATTAACTCGTGAGTTTTTTTTTTAACTAGGGTTAATTTTAAAAAAATTAATACGGTTAATTGTTAGAGAGATTTTGGGTTTATATTAACATAATATTTAAAATCAAATTATTAAAATTGGTTTGATGTAAAAGTATGGGAGAGATGATGTGAAATGATGATTAGTTAAAATTATGTGAGTGGATGAATAGTAAATTAAAGTTGATTTTATAAGAAAGAAAGATTAGTTGATATTATTTAATTATATTGATAATATTGAGAATAGTGAACTTGGGTTAAAATTGAGTTAGATTTTGAGTATGCGTTGAAATAATTTATAAACAAACACACCTTTAGACATCTAAAATTCTATTAAAAATCTAACCAAGATAGTTCCGACTAGAAGAAGGACCTGCAAAACCATGAACATAAATCTTACGCAACTCAAATAAATTGCACAACGACATAATCAACCGACATTTTAGATTGCTTAACTCAATTTTCACGAACGGAAATGGTTTGCACTTACAATATTTCATCTTAATATTGTTGTTTTTTGTGTTTGTGTGTCAATAAAATGATTCAAAAATCACAATAAAATTTGAACAAGGGACAAAGTCGAGGAACCTATGATTACGCTCCTCTTTAAAACTGAATAACTCACGATATTACCCACGGTTCACAACTAACGTCTCCAACATACAACAACTTTTGATTTGTATATAGTGATAACTAAAATACACAAAGCATTTTGTCAAACTAAGTGTCGATTGCATTAGAATCCTATGAAAGTTCTTACAAAAGAACCAAAAATAGAAAATCAAATTGTAACTTTAAGTGGAAAGACTAAAGTCAAGGCAAGAAGATCTTTCCGCAAAATAAATGCGCCCCGTAAAATGTTGATGGGTCTGTGTGTTTTGTTTCAAAGATATGACGACAATCGTCTCGAAGGCTATAGTACCCTAGACTTTGAGCTCCGACTAACTAGATTAGAGTCGAGAACTAAATAATATGTGATCATGTGTGAGGCAATCAAAGAATCAAGTACATATGATGGATGTTGTGTACTTCTGCAGTTGTACACTGTAGTTTGTATACTAAAAGCTCGTCTTTATTTACAAACGTTTTTTTTTTTCAATTCATTTTTGAATGAGAATAATATTTAGTCAACAGTGTTTGTACTAGTAATTTAAACTGTTGATAATATTGTCCGATGTGTCGAAAAGAAGATCTTGTTGTTTGTTCTTTGTAAAATATAAAGTATGGTTCACAATTTAGATAGAGTTGAACAAATTACCGTCAATGGTTGAAGTGTAATTTTTAATTTGTTTATCTTCGCTAATGAATTACACTAGTTCATCTCGGATGTATTGAATGGGTCACGAGCAGGCGGATTAAGTTCAGGTATAATATGAAGGTTGAGTAGTACTAGTTTCGAGACAAGAGGTTAATTAATTATACTGTCAGTAGTTAAATTAATTCAGAGACGTTAGATCGTAAACATGGGAGATAAATCGATTGAATAAAGTTGAAGACGAATGAAATATAATTTGGGGTTAAATAAGAAGTTCAATAATATTCCTCTAGTGGAATAGAATATTATTCTTGTATTACAAGTGTAGGTAGACCAGAACCTAAGTTGTCTGTTCACATAGGGAGTCCTGATTTAACACCTCCTCTTGGTCCCTGTTATAGCCTATAAATACACCAAGTCCTAATCAGTATCAGAGTTGCACACATGAATTATTTCTTAGCATTCTCGCAATTATATGAGAGAGAGAGAGAGAGAGAGAGAGAGAGAGAGAGAAAGAGAGACGGGATTTGAAGTAGTAATGAGTAATGGTGCATGCGTATAGTTTTTGGTGCTAAAACATCTCTGAAAACATGGAGGGAGGCTGGCTGAGATCGTAGGCCTGCCCATGCATTAAATGACGAAAATGCCCCTACTTCATTGGGAATCAAAGACAACAATGGTGGAAATGGAAATTGTTCAATTCAATTAATTAATTTGTAAATTAAGTAAAATAAAGAGAGGCGGTAATTGGATTGTATTGGATTGGATTGGTCTGAGTTAATATATAGTATAATAATATGTTGTAAGGAGTATAGGGCCTAGGCTTTGGAAATTGTACCAAACAAAACTAGAGTTGATATATCAGACTTGAGAGAGAGAGAGAGAGAGAGAGAGAACTTATGAGTTGATTAAGAGGGGGTGCTGAGTCACTCACTCTACTGATGCAAAAAGGGTAAAGGAATTTTGAGGGAAAAAAAAGAATATTGCTTTGAGATTTGAGGCTTGGTTTTCATTTCCATACATTTAAAACCTACTGCTACTCGTAACCATTTACCAAAGGCATATAATGTAGACATCTGTGTGCATAGCCATCTAGGTCTTTTGTTCCTTTAGAAGTAAAATTTAAAGACCAAAATATTTATTTAATCTTGTAAATAAATAAAATATATTTTTTTTAAATGATGCAACATAAAAAAAGAAAAATGCATTCAGCTCTATTTAAATGGTGTCAAATATGTTTATGGTCAAATCACTAAAAAGGAAAATCATAATTCAAGTAAGAAAATCTTTCCGAAAATTAAATTTCCTAAGTTATTTAATCAGCGAAATTTTATTTATTTGTCACAATTTATATATGGTTCATAATTTACATATCTAAGCTAAGTTATAGTTACTTATTACCCACAAACTACTTTTGAAAGTTATAGTTAAAGTAGGAATATTTATAGAAAAAGTATTGGTGTTTAAGTCTGTCTAACAATAATCTTATTTTTTATTACCACGTTAGCTCAAGTTATAAACAAAAAAAAATTGTAACTTCATTCCAATAACGGTCCAATATTTGTGCTCGAAGGTCTTCGTAATTCCGTGTATGTGATCTTTAAAGAAAATAAGTTGACTTCTTGATATAATCTTATCATAAAATGATCTTATACCATTCGAAATGTGCGTTTGTATTTATACGCGTGTGTTGCTGGTAAGCCTGCGTTTATGTGAGATTCTTCTCATTTATCTAATTTTTATTATGAAATTGATAATTATACAATGGCAACGTCATTTATGCGTAAAATGTTGATGTTAGGGCGGAAAATTTGATGCAAAATAAAAATGATATGATAAAGAATTAGAGTTATCAGTGCCAATTTTTAAATTTTGAGGAGCATTGATTCATTTCTTGGCAAGTGATAGTTTGTAGCTGTATCTCGTTGGATAGATGTTCAAATAAATGCTTCGTGCTCTTCGATATTTTTTATTTTTTTTAAACTTTTCAAGTTGTATGCAAAGAAAAACAAAGAGGTATACTTTTCATTTACTTGCATGAAGTTCTTTTTTGTTTTTGGGTGCAAAGAAAGAGGCCTAAGGCCTAAACAAGTACTCTATGGGAGAAGGGGAAGAGACGGACAGAACCAAAAATTTTCTATCTCTGCTACAGAATATCGACGAAAGTGAACAGAGGCCCCAAAAACAAAATTTCAACGAAAGCTCAAACATAAACAAATTTTCTGAATTTGAAATCCTTATAAAATCGGGTTTGTAAGGTTCGAAAACGGAACGACATAACCGGCTCGAAAATAAACAAACGGCAAAATGAACGAGATGACCCGGAAAATCACAACGAGTCTCCGAATCTCATACGACTAATCACAGAAAATAAAGGGGTCGATTTATACGAATGAGAGTCCAATAATTCCACGATATATCACGAATCATAATCCGACGAACAAAATGAAAGTACGGGCCGATTAATGAACCGAACAAACAACAAGAAATCGATTTTAATAGTATGAATATAATCGAACGAGTAAGCACGAGCACGAATATATCAAGAAGGTTCTCTGATTACCTCTCTTCGGAAAATTTACGAGCTCGGGAAAGGCACGAACGAACGGGAATCGATCGGACAGATGAAACTCGAAAGGTCGGGCTCGACGAACAGAAAAACGGAACGAACGGACCAACACCTCGAAAGCTCGGAACTCCCCGAACACGTTGCTGCTCGCGAAAGGATGGACGTCGGTTTCTCGAACAGCTGGCGGAGGTGTTCGCCGGAATTAATGGAGGTTCGCCGGAATTTGAACCACGCGGCTATGGAGGATGGGGACTGGTCGGGACCTTCGGTTGAAAGCGGTCACTCTTTGCTGCTCGAGGAAGGATGGCTGCCACTCAAGAACGGTGGTCGACAGCGACTCTGACTCGCCGGAGAAGAAGATTGAAATTTCTCTTTTTTTTTTTTTTTTTTTTTTTTTTTTTTTTTTTTTTTTTTTTCGCGAGATTAGAGAATCACGGCTATGAAGAAGATGGGATTTTTGAATGTTCCAAGGACTGAACTTCGGCCAGATATAACAGATCAAAGGGAGAACGTGCGCTTAGAAATCGCAACAAGATTTTTGATCCGTTGAAGATGACGACTCGATCGCGAGGAGAAGGGAAGCAGTTATGCGGATCTTAACTTCAATGGGCCAAGGATGATTTATTGCACAATGGGCCAAGAATATTAACTCCATTTTGGGCCATATGAAATTAAATGGAAAGTTGGGTCTTGGAGTTCATTAATCAATTAGGCTTGAATTAAATAGCACAAAAGGGCCAAAGGATCAATTGGGCTGAAACTAATTAGCACCAACGGGTATAAATAAATTCCAATTGGACCGAAATAAATACAGCGCGATAATAAGAATATTCCGATCGATACTATTGACAACGAATAACAAATGAAATAAAATTCGGATATTATTATAAAATATATTGCACACATTATTAATTAATTAATAATACACATTTTAGCATTTAATAGACAATTAGGCATTTAAATAAAATAATA